AAAAAAAAAGAATATTGGGGAACACAAGATTTGGAGACCAGGAGTCTAACTTTGGGTTTCATCACTTATAAGCTGTGATTTGGCAGAGCCACTTAACCTCTTTTAAGTTCCATTTTTGTTATTTTTAAATTCAGTATTGTTTTGGGGGTCTTATGATGCCGTGAAAGTGTTTTGACACATCATTACTTTATTAACAGATAATATATAATATTTTGGGTGAAAAATGATGACAGGCTGCCATGCTTCTAAAGCTCAGCAAAGTGCCTGGTACAAGGAACTTCAGATTTTCATGAAGCCATGGCCCTCTCCCCTCAGAGGGTGACTGACTTTTGACTAATCCAAGGTCACAAAGCTGGTAGTGGCAGCCAGAATTTAGGTCTCCTGATTCCAATCACCTGGTCTTCCTACTACACTATTATCATTCATTCATTCATTCATTCATTCATTCAAAACATTTTTATGGAAGATAAATTAAGTGCAAAGCATTGCGGTAGGTGCTGTGGGTAATTCTGATTTATCAGACACAGATTTCCCTCAAGGAACATAGGAGCTAGTGGGATGATGAGACTCCACCATAAGTGTGTATAGTCAGAGGTTGAGACAAAAGGTATGAATTAACTATTATGTGACTTGGTCAGGGTCATGGAAGAGGTGACAATTCAGCTGTGCTCTGAAAGGCAGAAAGGATTTGTACATAAGTCATAGGATTTAAAGTAGGCACGCCAGGGGTAAGCAGTAAGGTGACCAAAGGCACCGATCTTAGGTTTCAATAAATTCTAGGCAAATTTCATCATATCGTAACAAAGGCTATCTTTCACCCTGACTCTTGCACACTTTTTTTCTCTTTAGAATGCTTGTTTTGGACACAATTCATGTTTTACTCCTCTGGTGGCCTTGCTGACTCACTCCTATCCACTCTCGCTAAGGACACTTATGACATACTTCTCTTTGTTTTACTTCCTTGCCCCTTTTGTGTATTGGTTTCTTACGATTTCAAACGAACTTGTTTATGACTTAAGTAAAATTGCTTGGATCTAAGGGTGAATTTTGTTTAAATTAAGGAAGTTGTGATCAACATTAGGGGACCGATCCAAGATGGCAGAACACATCAGAATTACAACTAAATGATAGAACAAACCTGGAGAACCATCTGAAGTCTAGCTAAATGCAAGTTTTATAACTAAGGATATAAAGAAGAAGCTGCATTGAGACTGGTAGGAGGGGCGGAGATGTGAAATGGGCTGGCCCCAAACCTCCATGTGGTGGATGAAAATTGGCAGGGATATGTCGGCCATGGAAGTTCCCCAGAGAGGAGTGAGGGACCCCAGTCTCACACCAGGCTCCCCATCCAGGAGGACTGGTGCCAGGAAAGGAGTCCCCACAACATCTGGCTGTGAAAAACAGTGGGGATTCCGGCAGTCCAGGTGGGACGGAAGGCGGCGGGAAACCCAGACGTCCTTTTAAACGGCCCACGCGCAGACTTGCTGATAGGTACTCTGGTGGAGGGGCAGTGACTCAGGAGGCATCAGAGGCATACAGGGCTGACTGAGATATGTGGCCTTGGGGGGCGGCCTAGAGGATCGTCGGCAATTTCCCTGTGTGGGATCCTCCTCTGTGCAGCCAGTGAGCGGGCGCCATCTTTCCTGTGTTGAGCCCGCCCCCTACGCGTACGGCCAAATCTGAATCTGATTGGCCTGGTGAGCTCCTCCGCTCCTCTCTGCTGACTCACTGAGACCCGCCACACTCAGCTCTGTACTGCAGGAGGCTTTATCGGCAGCTGAACCTTACTGGAGCTGGCAACTGGCAGCAGGTGGCAGCATGCCTTGGTGTGTCCTGGCTTTTTGTGGAGCTATCCCAGGCCTGGTACTGGTGACAGACATCCTCAGTTCACAGCATGGCCTCTCCTACACACCCCCAGTTCCAGCATATA